AAATAACTTGCACTTTGTGATCATGTTGTGCCATATTATCAGTCCAAGTAGTTGGACTGTAACTCGCACAGTCGAGAAATATACATTCTTATTATGAAAAAGTTAAAAAGGCGTACTTTTCCAAAAGGTAAGATTACCGAAAATGAAGCACTCGAGAGAATAGCTTAGGGTGCCCATAGGAGGGGCGAATGGGCGAAATAGAACGAAGCATCAGAGATGTAGTCCGTAAACAAATGCAGTGCGATAAGCTGTCAACAAGAAATGAAAAATGCTAATGATTACATCCGTTTGCTTGTACCTTTACATTGAGTGGATGCGCATGTTTTGAAGGAAGGAGATGCGGTAAGGTAAAACGAGACGAAGTCTAGCGCCGAAGTCATTGACGGCACAGTGGGCAATTCACACCGATATCTCTCACTTTGTGAGAGCAGCAGCACAATGTAGCGGACAGCAAATGCATCTAGATTCGAGATAATCGAAGATCAACCGACGCTTGGTCCCACGTATTCAGCAGCCTCGCACCACTAATCTTTCGGCTGGTTAGTCTCTACTATATATATGACATAATTAGAAACCGTCATTGTCAATGCATTGCTGATCCGCAGTATCAATGGCCTCGGTAGCTGTTGTGGAGGCTGAATCGTCCGAGTAGACATGAGGAGTCGTGTGGGTCTGAGATGTGTACGTCTGAATCGGTAGGACTATTTCTTTGTAGAATCTGCACTCTCTTGTGCCCAAATCATGGTCGTAAGGGAGCGCCAAAATGTCCAGAAAAACAGCCGTCCATTCACTCGTTATGTCGTGCAAGTTTCCCTCGTCAGGTGCAAGCAGTTGCGTTTGGCTTTCGGGCGTTAGGATCACCTCTTGGAAGGGGTGAACCATAACCAAATCAAACAACTGCCACTGGAAATCGTATAGTTTGGCGTAGGCGTATTTGGTTTACTCGGAATTGACAGCTTTGGCATTTTCCAATCGGCTGAAACTTCGACAACGAATTGACCCATAACACCATACCCTTAACACCATACACGCCGGAATGATCTTACTTAATTATTCAGGAGCCAGAATCGAACTGCACAATGATCAGTTCAATGCGAATATCGGTCCATGTTGCTATATTTCCTCACCTTCCGTTCGCAAATGGGATATCTAAGATGACACCTTCACACAGACCACTCCTAAGCCCAGTATTGCCTATTCACACGCGCCTTTTGCTCATGGATTCCCCATCATTCCGCTCTATTTTGGTATACTTCTCACAGCCAATGAGAGCAGTTAGGTGCTAATCACCAGCTCGATATAATCCCGAACCGACGTACTGATTGTTTCCTAGGATCTGGCACACATATGTGATGTTTTCTGATAGCTTTATTTGGGAATGTGATCGAGGAAAATGTGGATCCGAACATACTTCTCGTAAGTCATTCGTTGTGGGCTCTGACTGCAACTCACAGTTTTGCTATGGCTTTGATTCGTGCTTTGTCCTTTGCGCTAGTCATTCCCTTTGTCGATGCCCTTCAGGTTAAAGCTGCTTGGCTGAAAGCCAAGCCGGCAGTTGCTTGGCTCTTCAAACAGCACGTGACATTGACTATTAATTAATTTGAATATCACACTAAGAAGACGAATGTTGCAAGATGGTACCATTTCGTGCCCTCTGTTCACTTACAGACGCACATCATCACGCAGACCCTACGGGCAAATGGCTACCCAGAAGCCTTTATTAGGTTTCATTGCTGTCCCGCAGAAACTGAACAGCCGGTCGTTCTTACTGTACCAAAAGTGCCTGTTTATCTGCGACTACCCTTCAAAGGGGATGTTCTGGCTAGGCAGGTAGAACGACGCACAGCAGTTGCAATACGTACATTCAGTGCCGCTAAATTCTGACTTCTATGGACAACCAAGAAGCTACCACTGCCCCCAGTCAGGTCTACTAAGCCGGTCTCCGCCACGATGCACTGTATCTATCGATTTGTTTGTAAGTGTGGAAGCAGTTACCTCGGCAGAACAGACCGTTGCTTGTGTAAGCGGATTGGGGAGCACATTCCGAAAGGTATCGTTACCTTGACAAGACAACCGCAAACGGGATCTGTGTCGACGAACAACATACCTGCCTCTTCGATTGCGAAACACCTGATGGAAACAGGTCAGCAGGTGGACCACAAGTCGGCGTTTAGTGTCATCTAGCGTAGCACGAACGCCAGATTCCTCAAGTTTGCCGAGGCTGTGGCCATAAACAAAGCATTCTCTAACATTGTGCATCCAGAAGCAACTGTTCGTAACGCTCAAGCTCCCTTGGAGTTCATAATTCCTCCTCAACCTGTAGCCAAGGTTTGTTTCGCTTGCATGTGACCTCACGCTTTCAACTTATTGATTTCTTTTTTGTCACATCATCATTTGATATGTTGTCCGTTTGCAAGTGAACAGAGGGCACGAAATGGTACCATCTTGCAACATTCGTCTTCTTATTGTGCTATTCAAGTCAATACAGTGAACTTAATGCTTCAAATTTTTAAGACTTTGGAATTAATTGTAGCGCGTGGTTAGATTGGGTTTAGATTACCAACCATGATGGTATTCGTGTTTTATAATGTTTCGAAATACTGGTAGCTCGGGTTGATGAATCAATTGTTCATTTGTTCTCCGAGCTTGGCGGTTTTCTCGCAAACGTTTTACCACCGTGCGAGGTGGCATCCTCAGTGCAGTGATATGTAGTGTACAAGGGATTTTGTTGGCCAAACGGGAAGAAAATTGGTAACAAGGATACAAGAACATAAGAGGGCCTGTATAAAGCATTATGCATCGTCGATAGTCTCAATGCATGTAGATGAAGAAGGACATAGCTGCGATTGGAGCAAAGCAGAAGTCCTGGCACGGGGTGAAACAAGAAAAGAAAGAGAATTCTTGGAAGCTTGGTTCTCAACGAAACATTCAATCAACATGCGCATGGACATCGATTCAATATACGAGCCACTACGACAGAAAGAAATAAAGAACATTTTGTCACGCGGTTTGAGGCAGAACAACTCGGACACCGACTTTAGCATTGGGGAAAGTGGGTAGAGGTCACGGGAGCTAAATCGATACTGTCACGTTCAAAGTCACCTGCTGGTCGATCTTTGATGGAGAATTCATTTAGTAAGCTTGTACGCTACATATCACTGCACTGAGGATGCCACCTCGCACGGTGGTAAAACGTTTGCGAGAAAACCGGCAAACTCGGAGAACAAATGAACAATTGAGTATTCGTGGTGTTTGGTGTGTCACTAGGACAGCCGCTGACTCGTTATATTGAACTCGATCGGGGTAGTCTCCACCGCACTCGAACGAAATCCGTGCAGGTGCCGAACGATACCTATATACACAAGGTCATTTATCACTAGAGGCTCGATGACATGCCCCACGATTGCGATGCAGTCATTCGTTATCAGAGTAATGCGAATTACCTATTGACTACTCGAAGTGCTTGACCAACGTGTTCTACATGGATAGATGGTCAACTTACAGAGGTCTGGATCCATAAGATGTACATGATGAGCGTTCAAGCAAAGAAAAATCGATCAATCAACTTAGTGAAGCGGTCGGGATATTGGGGTGGTTAACTCCGAAGGTTTTGCTGTAATCCCATCCTTCTCTTTCTGCTCAACGTTAATCACCGTTTCTGGGCCAATGACTCTTCTGAATTGTTCCCTAGATAGGTTAAGCTTTTCCCCTAATCCTTATCTCGGTCGGCGTTAGCAATATTTTCAGCAGCTAAATGTTTTATTTTCAGCTGAGCTCAACCACATCACCACCGCAAATCTCTAAAAGCTCTCCGCGGCTGTTGCGTCCTGTTAAGACTCGGTGGCAACGCACATTCCGCCGACTCCTTTGGAAGTCGGACTCACAAACCCTCAGCTTTTAATCAGTTGCTTAGGAAACATGACCATGGACGGCGACGCTAGCCCGCGCCTAAGGCCCCTGGCTGTGATGTAGATCGTGTAATCCTTTATTGCTTTGCGCGTTCCTGCCGTTTTTTCTAATTGCTTTATATACACTGTGATTGTTAAGTGAACATTTTAAGCATCCAACTTGCGAATCGCATCATCTGGATAATCCACTCGACTGTCATGGGTTTCGTCCGACCAAATTTGCCTGTACCGATTCTGTATACAATAATAAAAAACAATTTTCTTAGGTTACCCAAGCGCTGATCACGAGAGTTCTACCGGGATTATAACTGTCATTTTCCACCTCGGCGAAATTCGTCCATTTGGCTTCGTTAATCGCCCGCATGAACTAGAACCGGGGTTTTTAACTCAGCTCAGCATGTGATTAACTACCATATTAGTGGGGCAAGCGTTTCAGCTCAGTATAACTCTATTTGTCTTGTCTGCCATATGAACCCGTCCTGACTTCGTCACTTTTCGTTTGCTTCGCAGTGGACGCGCTTCTTTCAGCATCATCGTTTAAAATTATCCAGCTGTGATTCATATGCAACTTTCTGTATTCTTTTGTGTATCTTTCTCTGCAGTTCGCCACTCAATCATTTACTCCTGAATTTTAGTTTTCATCTTGTACGATTTCAAATCCAGCGGCACTTCGCGGTTGAGCCGTGTGACCTGAGCATATTCTCACACGCGATTCTGATAGCGCACGTGTACTCTGCGTTGCACACAGGCTTCAACTTGGTTATTCTGTGGTTCAGCTGCCCACTCCATTTGCTTGGTCGCTTCGGGCAGTACACTATCACACACACTGCATAGTCGTATGTAGCGGATTCAGAAATACTCCGCGGTCTTAGTGTCAGGCTGATTGGCTTAATCTCTTGAAAGTAAGCCTTGCCTTGCAAGCACAAGAATAACCCCCATGAAACCTGACAACCATAAGAATGTGAATGTGACCAGGTGTAAAATTATGTCGGTGGTAATTGCCAGTCACCTTATTCACTTTCAACTGAATACTTAGTGCATTTCGTTTACTGGCGCTTGTTACGCTTTTGTCCCAACTGTTCCCTTTGCCAGTGTAAAGCGCGATAAATATCTGAATAAATGGTTGCCCATGTTTCCCCTGGTATTCTACCGCTGGTTCTTGGATACGTTCCACAATCCGAGCACTTGGTAAGTTAAATGCAGGTATTTTCGTGTTCGCCTGTACTTAGTCCTTACTTGCATTTTGTACGGGCCACTCCTTCGATTCGTTACACTGTGTGTACGTTGATGCTACTTGGGCTTGATTTGGAAGCTTGTTTCATCTCATTTGGATGGCTGTGCTTTTTCCCACATATGACTCGCTGATCCTCGCCTATTCGCTCCATACCAGCGACTATCCCACTAGGTTGGGCGGATAGTTAATCCGGACTCAATAGTGTGACTGATTTTTGTTCAGTCGAACTCATTTTGCTCATGAATATGCTTTACTTATTGTGTGCCATTTTTTTCGTCCATGAGATGCCACTACTTTTACCCTGTTATTGAACACATGTTTGTTTCACCCTGCGCATACGCATAAGTAGTTTGTGTTGTTTTTCAACTAATCTGTTCGTTTCACACATAGAGGTTCATCGCATTCTGTCGGTTGCTCACTTTCCCTTGCACCCATGTCTCTCGGACAGCCCACACCTTTAATCTCCATAGCGATCATATATATGTTGATGAATAAGAATCGCTCTTACAGGCAGAACCCTTCGCATCAATCTTGCAATGTGCTATCGCTTAAAAGTATCCAGTGTCGGAGGCAAACACCACCTCAGCTGCATCGTCACCGACGACAAAAGCCATCCAAACAGTACATCAGCAAATTAAACTGATGTTTCGTTGACGTTAAACCAGATTAACATATGGAGACAGTGATGCTGGTAGTTGGGGAAGAAAACCTAGTGCAAATATTCGAGGGCAAGGCGCCTGCACCCAGCCGGCAGCACAGATCACAAATAATTGGTTATCTAGTGAAAATAAGGCACCAGCTTTTTTGCGCTTTTTACTACCCACGTCATTACCAGTCTCACTCCGCAGGTCACTCAGCATTTCGAGCGGGTATGCGTAGCACGCGTCAATGTTAATGCCGATTTTCCGGTTTTATATATTATTCTAAGGAATTAATCTGATTGTCACCTCCTAGTCGTCGCCGGAGTGTGTCATCGTTGCAGCCTCGCTAGTGACATTCGAAAACAGTGATGCTACACATACCTCGACGATCAAAGGTGCTCCGGATCTTCAGACCGAACGAGTGATATCTCGCTCCCATAGTGAAGCAAGGTCCTCACTATGGCTCTGTCTTTCGTACCACAGATTTCGCAGCTTCAATGATGTATCTCTAGCCTTTGCAATACTTGAATCACTTTCGTCAGTCGCGCGTCCATCACCACTGATACTACTACCAAGGAAAGTGAAGTGACCAACTACCAGTCCCTCGTCAAGCGAAAGGTGTCATACAACAGCACTGAAAGTATGGACTACAATCCAACTAATGGGGTTACTTCAGAGAGTTTCTCCAAAATTGATTACGTTAACTAGCCAAGTCCACCAGCCGGGCGTTATCATCTATATAATCTAGGTCAACTAATTTTCCGAATGCTCTAACTAGTTTTTCTGATCGAGCTGTCGTTCGAATAATTCGTTTAACTAGGAATGTCATCATGCCCTCATCCCCACGCACACACACACTCACACTATACACGTTTGCTAGACGTGGGAACCACTTCAGCTACTGTGCCGCAATACCTAAAAAAGGTAATAAAATGCAACAGGTGCAAGCCAGCTGAGCTCCCGGTAACGGATGGGGATCGTTCCGGTTAGCTGCCTGCCGGCTACTATGCAGCAGGAAAAAAAATAATTTACTATGCAAAATCATAAACTGCTAAATAATGATCGTGGTTGTAGGGGGAGGCTAAGAGAGATGGGGTGGGACAAAGGAACTCACAGCACGAACGCCACTGAGGCCGGATCCTAGCCATATTAATAAGTGTATCCAGCCAAAGGTGTTCATCGTCTTTCGGACCCCAACCAGTGAGCCGAGACGCTCCAACTGAGGCCAGCTTCGAAGTGAGGGCCTTCATTCCTCTCGACCAAGTCATCGCTTGGCCACCTCTCCTCTTCTTCCATCCACACTCCCGGTGAGCAAACAACGCACGTCGTGGGAGTCGGTGTGCTTACATGCGTAACACGTGGCCGAGCCATCAGAGTCTGGTGTGTGAAATGACGGCGCTGAGCGGTTCATTTCCTTTTCCTGTGCCGTAAACAAGGCGTCAAACACGGTCGTTGCTTACTAGGTGTTCCCACCGGATGTGAGCTAAATTGCGAAGGCACCGGTGTTCGAACGTAACTAGCCTCTTTATGTCCGCTGATCTAAGGGGCCAGGTTTCAACCGTACAGTAGGGTCGAAGGTACCGCTGCATTGTACACTCTACTCTTCAGGGCAAGAGTGATGTCGCGCCAGTGCCATAAGTGGCGAAGGTTAGCAAAAGCCCTCGAGCTTTTGCTAGACGGTTCGTGATCTCATCTTCAGTCCCACGAGCGCTAATACAACTTCCCAGGTAGTTGAATTTCTGAACGACTTCTAACTGATACCCACCAAGGGTCAGCGATGGTGCAAAGCAAAGCCCGAAGCGGCTGACAGCCAGTGCTAATCTGTCCAGCGCGGCTTGGCACGTCTGGGAGCTGTCACAGATGAGAGCAATGTCGTCTGCATACTCCAAGTCAAGAAGTCGTTCTCCTGGGAGTAGCTCCACACCTTCTAAGTCATGTCCTGTAAATGCAAACTCCATGACTTCGTCAATAGCGAAGTTGAAGAGGAAAGGTGACAGCGGGTATCCTTGTCTCACGCCACTGGAGATATTAAACAGCGACAACAACTTGCCGTAAGCCCTCACTCTGCCCGAGCTACGCGCATATAATGCTCGGATAATATTCACATATTTCCCAGGTACACCTTTCCTGAGTAGACAGTCCCAAAGTGCATGTCTATCCACCGAATCGAATGCACCTTTGATGTCGAGGAACACGACTAGGGTGGGCCGCCAATGTGTGTGGCGGTGCTCCAACAACTGACGCAAGGTGAAGATGTGGTCGATGCAGCCACAACCCCGACGAAACCCGGCTTGCTCCTCACGAATCTGGCTTTCACGAGCGCCAGTCAGTCTGTCAAGGATTTTGGAGGCGATGGAGATCAGACTGATTCCTCTATGGTTGCCGCATTCCGGTCGTGAGCCTCCCTTGAAACTTGGGACTATGACGCAGCGGCTCCAGTCGGTTGGGACAGTTTCCTGCTCCCACAGTCTCACTAGTAACTCGTATAAATCATCCACATGAGCAGGTCCCCCGAATATGAAGAGGGCTGGAGTTAGATCATTTGGTCCCGCGGCTTTATTTAACTTCAAAAGGGCGATCTCACGTTCGACTTCTGAGCGAGAGGGTGGATCCAAAGGGACAACCCACGGAGCAGGGCGATCAGTGGCCAGCGCGAAATCTAACAATTCTACCGATTAAATTGCCTTTCAAACTGCTCAGCCCAACGCTGCAAGCGTTTTGACAAGTTGTGTATAGGCTGTCCACTCTCGTCACGTATAGTTTCACTAACATCAGGTCTTCTGTTGCCCGTTGCCCGTATCAGCCGGAATAACTTACGATGGTTACCAAGGGCAGCGGCCATTTCCATCTCTGATTCACGAAGTGACCACCAGGATTCGCGGTCTCTCTTCAGGCTGGCACGGAGTTTTGCCCAGAGCTCTTTGCGAGTCATTGTGTTCGCTTCCAGTCGGAATATGCCGGCGAGCATATATAAGTTCCTGAGACCGCGAAGGGACTCAATGTCCATGTTGGCGATTAGAATGACCACATGAGGATTTGCTTGCTGCTAGTATGGACTGGTGAAGATGAGACCAGTGAGTTTCAGCTGCATTCACTGAACGCTTACTCAACTCGCGTGACAGCGTACTTTGATAGGCATTCATAACAGCTGGTTTCGCCAGTTGGCCGGTGTCAATGCGCTCACAAAATCGTCTTGGGCGTCCGCCAAAACGTGTCTGCAGTTCAGCACATGCACGTGCATGGTCGGTGTCCACACCTGTGCTCCAAATCGAGCGACAGTTCTGGACGCAGCCTCTCCATCGGTAGCTTATCGCAAGATGATCGATTTGCGTCCATAGCTGGTTTGAGGCTGGTGGGCGCCAAGTCACCCTCCGGCGGGTGCTGTGTCTGAAATTAGTGCTCGCAAAAAATAAGCGAGCATCCTCACACAAATGAGTAACGGCTGACCGTTATCATTACGAGAGCCTACACCATGTTGGTCGCCCATTTGCAGTTCATCAGTGGATAAATTTCCAACTTGAGCGTTCAGATCCCCGGCAAGCACAACAGTGTCCGAGCTTCTTCTGTGGCTAAGAAGCTCGTTTAATTCGCGATAGAAGTCGTCTTTTACCGAATCATCGCTAGAGTTTGTGGGTGCATAGGCAGCGATGACGAATGGACACCTGTTAGTCCCGTGTGACTTCGAAGCTTTGAACGAGCCAGCCAGTCGGACCGCACTCAACCGGCTACTGATTGGAATCCAATCAACCAGGGCAACTTCAGCCCGGGGACTCAGGGCAATACCAACACCGGCTTGGTCGGTGCTTGAAGCTGCATCGTCACCGGATAGGTGCAATGAGGAAGTGCTGCTGGTGTCACCTGAAGGGGATCGCAAAGTGAGCACAGAGCTCGAGTCTTGCAGGCGGGTCTTCGATAAGCAGCATATATCGATCGAGAGGGTCTCTAATGTTCGGGCAAGTGCTGCCCGTTGACCGATCTGTAGCAATGTGTGAACATTGAGGCATGCCAATCTGAAGGATGATCGAGGGCTCCAAATGGAAATTGACGAAGTGGGCTTGGCCGCTTCTTGGACATGGGTTTGTCGACAGGGTAGGAATGACGCCTCGCTTTCACATGTGAGTTGAAACTAGAAGGTAAAATCATAGCAAAGCAAGGGGGGTGAGGGCCAACAATTGGGGTGGGGGTTGAAAACGGGGGGATAAAAGTGAGGCTGGAACGGGACGTTAAGATAGAAAAGGCGTAAGAGGGGGAATTAGAAGACGGGAAGGCTTGAGCAGTAGCATCCAAATCCCTATCCACCCTGCTCAATGCAGCAGATAGGGCACCGTTGGTTATCCTCTGCGGTGGCCAGAGCATCAAGAAACTGTTTGATGAGGAACTTCTTGTATTGCGTGGGGAGGATACTGTCAGGTTGCCCAGGCCAAGACAGGAGAACGATTAGGGTTCTCAACCAAAGCTTTTGGTTCAAAAACCTGGCCGCAAGACAGCGAGTTTGGCGTTGAACTACAAGGAGTCCGTTTTAAGGAATAAGGTGCCACCTCATTCCAACCCCCAACCTGGAGGACCAGGTGGTTGGGTTTATCTGGCGTCTAACCATTGACCAATCTGGTATGAGTGGCTCTGACGGTTCAAAAAAGCACCACCCAGCATAGCTTAACGGATCGCTGAGGCACCAAACCATCGCACCACGGTAACATCCAGCTTTGATTGATACCATACACTTGAATTGACACATTTCATAGCAATACTTCCACAATTTTTATGTATACTGAAAACTAAATATATAGAGCGAGAATATATATATTTGCTGCTCCACTGAAATATGATCGGTCACACGCACACGAAGGCGTCACTAATTGTCGCGCAGTTTGGATATTATACATGCGCTCTCTGAACCTATAATTCGTAATGGACCTGTCCAGGAATTCCGTGAATTCCGATACCGATTTTGTCCATGCTATTACGTCTGGTAAACTATTGTGTCTTTTCCAGGCTAGCCAAAGCCTGCTGACTGAGAGTGGACCGTGATGAACTCTCTTATCCTACCGAATCCCCACAACTCATGATATTGTGACTTCGTCTATCGACACTCTTTGTTCACTCCCTCCATCTGCGTGTGTCCAAATTTGGGTCATTCCATGAAATTAATCCCCATGACACGTAACAGTGCGTTTATCCACTGTAATTGGTCAGCTGTTTGGCGGTACCAAACGTTTGACCTTATTTTGGGGTTTGTTGCCCTCTGTACGTATTGGGCTAGTTTTCCGAGTAGCACTGTCGATCTTAAACCTGTTACTATTCGGGCAGAGTCTTTATCTTCTCACCGAAACATCGTGCCTACAACTTGCTGCAGCACGGTCTTCTTATGTAGCCTACACTAAGTCTACTTTCACACCTACGGAATGTTTCGGCGTCTCACCATAAGTCGGACTTCTCGCTCTTGCTCACTACACTAAATTAATTTGCATATAAGAACGTTTCTTATTTTGATTAAACACAACCCCTGGGTAGTTTTCTGCCAGTACTTTTCAGTTCCTTTATCCACTGTCTTTTCCCCCCAGCTTCCCCATGTCTTTTATATCGGGATTCTGTTTTAGTTGTTTTGATCACCCCGAGACGCATAGCTTTTTCCACCATGAATATGCTAACTTGCCATAGAATGCAGTTGACCCACACTCTTGTTGTTGAGGTGCCGACAGCAGTCCTTTCGGATTACTTTCCTAGTTTACCAACTGCAATAAACGGCGTTGTTAGAGATGCATAATAATAATATTTAACGATATGTCTGGTCATATTGAACCATCTATTTGCACATTTACTTTTCACTTCTGCGAGTAACCGAAAACGCCCAAACGAAGTGGCTGGTCATCCATCTGTGCGGACAGGGTAGCACATCAACGGATCATCTCTGCATGGATGCATGAGTAATTGTGCTTCACATCCTAACAAACCACCGGACATCTTAAGCGCTCAATTTATTGCCGGTGCTAACTCATTAGAGCTGCATATTCACCCTTCATGGGTACATGAACCACATTCTTGACTTGGCTTGATTATTCTTTGTAAGTGTCGCACTAGTTTGAAAAGCAACCTGTGCTATCCGTGGAACTTGCACTAAGTCTGTCATATTATTAGCCGCATTGAAGTCTTAGTGTGCAGCTTGGTACGTAGCCAACCACTATCTCTTGACGTCAGGCAGCTTCGTGCGCTGCGGTCATCGCAACAGTGACGTTGCCTACGTGCACTGGTGTACATACGATTTAGCCGTTTGATCATACCCAGTTGTGGCGTCACAACAATGCGCCACTTGTTTATCTCCTTTGGCCCCCGCGCGCGATGTGCTCATCGCGCTCAATTGCTTGCACGGACAAGGGCCTGGTAACTAGGTGCAGGGAGACTGACTACCGGCTGTGATGGAATGTGAACAAATAGTAGCTCTTTCCGCTAACAGTCCGTTAAAGAGATGAGTTTGGGCATGCTCCAACCCCTTGTCATACAGTGACAACTTCATCCTACCCCAACAACTGCTGACCTAAGGCATCACCAGTCTCACCCGCATCACACAATGCATCATCGCTCGGATGTTAAATTGTTCTCAACATCTGCACACCTCTACACTTTTACTCGGTATCCTATTGGCTGACGGCGCCTAACCACTGAGACATCTACGCGACGAAGGGCGCAAAAACAACGGCCGACGCATGAATGGGGTAACTTGTAAGAATAACCGACGAATTTGCAATCTCTAGGGTCTAACTGCACCGTTTAAGAAAACTACCAAAAGTTACAAAATAATGTTAAGTATATTTTTATTGGGATTAAAGGCCTATCGAAACTGTCTATTCATAATGTGCAAATTAAATTCAGATTAATATTACCAGCGTATTTTTACAAGATAGAGTTACTTTTTCAGTCCTTTTTTGTCTGCAGTGTCAGATGTAGCAACCGAAGTTGATTCCCATTAGTCGGACAAGTCTTTGGATCAGCTGACAGCTCAGGATTGTTGCTTTTTTGATCAAACATTCAGTGTGTAGAAAATTGACAGTGTATTTCACAGTATTTCGCAGCAAGAATGTCGCTGAGAATTGCGACTGAACAAGTCAAGTATTGGTATGTGAACGCCATCGTCAGTGATAAAGGAAGAGTGCGATTAAACAGGGCTTTTAGCCTGGTACTGACGTCATGATTTCGCAGGGCCTAATGCAAGTGTTATACTAGGGGAGATGTATTAATTGAAAACGATTCATTTGTCCAATCTGCCGGTGTGCCCATGTTTTCATACGCGCCATGGCCAATGCCTCCTTCAGCTGTCTATCGGCATTTATATTGGCATTTCAGCATCTCTTATTTACTAACTAAATCCCAGTCTGCATGGTCTTAAGAGTCCCGTTTGGTGCTGATATTAAGGTTGCGACTAAATCCACTTAATAGTGAATTTGATGTAGCCCTTTACGTGTGGAGGCATTTTTTCATTGATCAGTTTGTCGCGTTCGCTTTTACCACCAACCTAGCTGGTTTTTTTGCTGTTTACGAGAGGAATGTAACCTCTAGTCTCTTATGAACCCAGACTCTAATTTCACCCACTTGTAACCATCCAAGACGGCTTTTCGAAGGTAGCCTTTCCCAGTGATTAAAGTTTTGCAATCCTTCGTCACTTCCGTTTCAATCGTATAATTTTTACAACTGCCTTTCAACCGATGTTTTAGACTCCGGTCGTATGTATAGGTCATTGCTTCCGTTCGAGTTTATCCCTCGTTGATAATAAAACTTTTTCTCCTTTCTTAAAAGGTACTCTGCTCGGGAGTGCTACGCGCGCACCAGCGCGGTGATGAGCATGGTTGGCTATGTGTTGGGTCTCGGTGATCGGCACACAGAAAACATTCTGTTCGATTCGACCACTGGTGGCGTGGTACACGTCGACTTCTCCTGCGTCTTTAACAATGGTCTCACACTCCCTTGGCCCGAGCGCGTCCCGTTTCGCCTCACGCGAAACATGGTCCATGCCTTGGGTCCCACCGGTTACGAGGGTATCTTCAGGCGATGTGCAGAGGCCGTGATGCGATTGCTGCGCCACGAGATCGATCCGCTTTTGGCCGTCTTCCGGCCTATCTACTACGACGCGCTGGTCGAGCAAAGAGGGAGCGCCCGTGGTCCGCACACGGACGGTAGTAAGTGCGCTTTACCTTCTACGATCAAATTCTGATTTGAAACTTCAACCCCGACACATAGATATTGTATTCGTTGCACACCATCTTATTGCTCTTAGGTTATGCTGTTTATTAGTACCGATTTGTGTTTAATTGACATCGGTGTGGTACTTCACCTAATTTTTTATTGTTGCATGTGTATACTTCTCGCATTCAGAGAAACACTACTTTAGCAGGTACTTATCATCATTCTCAGTAACATACGTGCCATACGACCACAACAACTTTACTGATGAAAATAAGAAGGGATTTATGATACAAACCTAATGTCCGCTCCAAATTTGGCTTCGAAGTGCCGTATCTTTAACGGGATCACGGACAGTTTGATCCTGTAGCAAACTAAGACGGTATCTAGGAGTCAATTTCTTTGCAGTTTTTACTGTCTTGCCTCATAGTCAACCTTGCCGTAGGCACAGCTCAGCAATACATAGCTACAGAAAGACTGTCCGGCTAGTAGCATACACGCCCTGTTGTAGACATATTCTACAACGTTTTGAGTCAAACACATAGTTTACCTCGACCTACAAGGCGAGATGAATCAGCACAACCTGGTTTCTTGTCTGTCTTTATTTCCTTCTGGTAAATCAACGGTTGCCTCGATGAGTGGAATGAGATCCACTGTGGTAAGTCGTGCACGTGTAAATTTAGCACGTATGTACACCAACACAACCTACACAACTTCACCTATATGTACTCTTATGTCTTCTACGGTCACCGTCACAAACGACCCACGTCTCGCAGCTGATGGAAGTAACAGCCAAACTCCCGGTTTTCAATGTCCTGCAATCGCAACCGCCTCTCACTCCACCGAAGCTCCAACTCTTCTTCGACCTGGTTCTCCATTCATCCTCGCAGCGTTTAATGTTCGAACTTTGATGCAGATCGGACGACAAGCATGTCTGGCCCGTACTATTGAAACGCTTTCGGTAGACATCTGTTGCCTTTCAGAGACCAAATTACAATACTCTAGCGCCGTCATCAGAATGGTCTCTCCGGTAAACCCTGACGCCAACTACCACTTGCGGCTTTCCGGAGACCCAGAAGCTGGTGTTGGGGTTGCACTAAGTGCCAGGGTTGAATCAACTTTGCTTGACTGGATCCCAGTCAACAGTCGGCTATGTGCAGTCAGACTACGAGGTTCATGTAACGTAAGCAGGCGTCCAGACGTTAAGCGTGCCTTGTTTGTCGTCTCCGCCTACGCCCTTACAGACTGCAGCCCGGATGCAGTTAAAGATAGCTTTTACCAGCAGCTATATGAACTTCTGCGTTCCTCCAAAATGACTGATATAGTCATTCTTGCCAGGGACTTTAACGCACGAGTTGGCCGCCTTCTACCAAGCGAGCACCACGTTGGGGGTAGTTTTGGTCTCGGTGGCAGTCGATCAGACAATGGAGACAGACTGCTTGCTCTTTGCTCTGGTCATCGCTTGTATCTTTCGAGCACTAATTTTCGGCACTCGAAGAGACACACTGCTACCTGGTGCCCGCCTTCACAAACGCAAGAGTGCTCCCAGCTTGACCACATAGCAATCAGCTACAGATGGCTCGGAAGCGTACCGGACTGCCGATCGTACTGGTCAACTTATCTAGACTCCGATCACACACTGGTTCATGCTAAGATTTGTATGCGTTTCGGAGGATCACCCAAGCGCGGTCACTACCGACCGGACATCGCAAATCTACAAAACCCTGCGATTTTAACCAGGTACCAAGCCTCACTGTCAAACTTGCTTGGCTCAACTATTGGTGGTGATCTCGATTCGCATTGGGCGCAGATCAAAGATGCTTTAGTTTCCGCCAGTATCGACACTTGTGGAGTTGCCCGTCACCCACCGAAACATTGGATTTCTGCCGTCTCCTTGTCGCTGATAGACAAACGCCGCTTGATCCCATCGGATTCCAGACACAGTGAAGAACGCCAATACCTTGGTCGACAGTTGCGCAGGAGTCTGCAAATCGGCCGCAAAGCTTGGTTGTGGGAACGTGCTAGGGAGATGGAGCTTGCTAGTCTCTCTGGTAATATCAAAAAACTTTTCCATCACATTCGAATCACCGAAGATGTTCGATCTGGTATAAGGAAAACAATATGCGAAAAGGATGGCACCTCAATCATCAATCTTCAACGACGGTTGGAGCGATGGGCCGAACATTCTGGCTCGCAGTTTTGTTGGTCCACAGCTCAATCTGTTACCTCTGGCGCTCGCGCTGTGGCCGAGTGGTCTACCCCCACATATCCCCCCTCTTACCAGGAACTCGAGCAGGAGCTCCGTCACATGAAGCGTTATAAAGCCCCCGGCCCTGATGGTCTTCCTCCAGCTCTCGAAAGTTTGGTGGAAAGAGAAAGTTCCATCATCTTGGGGTGATTCGATAGTCGTCCTCATCTTCGAGAAGGGCCTGCGCACAATCTGCTTCAACTACAGGGGCATAAGCTTAGTCCCAGTCGTTTGCAAGCTGCTGGTGTCCATCATATTTTGCAGGCTATCCCCAACGCGCGAATCGTTGCAGCGAGAAGAACGAGCTGGGTTTCGCCCTGATCGCGGCTGCATCGATCAAATCTTCACACCCCGCCAGATCCTCGAGCTCCGCCACGTGTATCAGAGGCCAACGATTGTTGTGTTCCTGGATATCCGTGCAACCTTTGATTCTGTCGATCGTACGGTACTGTGGCACTACCTACTAAGGAATGGTATCCCCGAGAAGTTCGTCTCCATACTGCGCGCTCTCTATAGTCTGACCTCGGGCAGGGTTAGGGATTATGGCAAGCTTCCGCCTACTTTTGTGGTCTCCAGTGGAGTTCGACAAGGATGTCCTATCTCTCCGTCCCTAATCAACTTTGCCATTGAGGATGTCCTGAAAGAACGTTCTGGGCGATTCGTTTAACGCTGGCGTTGAGCTCCTCCCAGGTAGCCGAGTTGTTGATTTGGATTATGCTTATGATATCCTCTTGCTGGGTGACTATTCACACGTCGTCCAACTTGCAGTAAACCGCTTGGCGATTGAAGCATCAAAGTATGGTATGTACTTTTCGCCTTCCAAATGCAAGACTCTTTTCCAAAACTGGCAGGTGCCTCTGCTTGCGCTCACTCTTGGTGGCGAGACACTAGAAGTTGTGGAGAGCTTTGTCTACTTGGGAAGTTGCATCCCTGCTGGCGGGGCTGTTGGAGACGAGATTTCGATGCGCATCTCGAGAACACCCCTCACCTTTTTAGGCTTAGGCACTTGTGTCGTCGCCACGACATTCGTCTCTCCATCTAAGGGCGAATCTATTATGCAACTGTTCGGGCTGTACAGTTGTACGGATGCGAGACCTGGCCCATTCGTAAAGATGACTTGCGCAGGCTATCCGTCTTCGAGCACCGCTGTCTGCGGTCCATTGCCCGTGTGTGGTGGCAGCACCGCGTAAGCAATGTGGAAGTTAGACAGCGTGTCTTGGGACGTGGAAGCCACTCGCTCGAGGAGCTCGTCTCACTGCATCAACTGCGATGGTTGGGACACATATTGCGCATGCCTGTCCAGCGTTACCCCCGTCATGCGTTGTTTGCACTTGCTGGATAGGGCTGGAAGAGACGGTCTGGTGGACAGCCTACAACATGGAGAAGCCGCATGAAAAAGTTGACGAAACTGCTGGCCTCGGCCGGTTGTTGTCGACTACCTAGTTGGGGTCCGGGAGATGCGGATACTTGCTGGTTGGAGACCTTGGAAGCCATGGTTCAAGATATATGTCAATGGCGGACGTGTGCATCGATTTGTTGCGGTGTCCCTGCTTCCTCCCCTTAAATAAAAGAAACTGAAAAAAAAATTTCAAAAACTGTGAGTGGTAAAATAGGCAAAAAAGCAGAGCTTGTTGCCCTTTGCTTATTATTCATATTGTTTTCCAATTCAGCCATGATTCCGATGGCACAATATCTGTACCACAGATTGTGCATTATATATGTATATATATATATATATATATATATATATATATATATATATATATATATATATATATATATATATATATATATATATATACAGGCAGCCAGATGTTGCCTGCTGTCAACAGCAGAGGCGATCGCAATTCGGCTCTATAACCCGGACCTATGTGCACAGAAAAAACTCATCCATACTTTAACCTTGCCTTGGCCTCAGATCAGCGCGATTAACAATGGCAGTCACGCCACATCAATTGACCTCGCCTCAATCAGAACAAACACGTAGATTTACCGATTAGTTACTCTGCTTCAGTGACCCAATTTAAACCCATTGTGTTTATTCTAGCTTGCTTTATTGTGGTTGTATTAGCCTGATGATGAAGCCCTAAAAACAAGCTTGTTCGCTACTTTCTGTTTCTGATGTCACAACCGTAAGTGACTAATTGGCGGGTCAAGTTTGGACTACACGTTATGTGATTGGATTGCGACGCGCAATTTCAATGTAATGGACTGTGATTCACATTGAAGTGAACCTTAGTCACTACGATCGCTGGGACCGTAATCAAAGCTGATAGAAATTGGGTGTTGCCCACTCGAAAACACTGCACAACCACGACGCGTTTCAGTGTAATTTCAACTCATCAGGTTGAGACAGCAGGACTCGATCCCGCGACGATTGGAATGGCAGCCGAAACCTCAACCATTTGGGTACCGGGTCACGTTGGTCAATGCTTGGCACAACGGTAAATGACTAATGGGTGTATCAAGTTTTGACTACACTTTGTGTGGTTGCATTGCGACACGCAATCTCAATGTATGGACTGGGATTCGCATGGAAGTGAACCTTAGTGAATGCGATCGCTGGGACCGAAATCAAAGCAGATAGAAAGTGGCTGTTTCATACCAAAAAAGTTTGCGCATCGATGATGCGTGTCCACGTATTCTCATCCCATCTGGTCGCGAAATAAAGTTTCAAAAAAAACGAACACAGCAATAGAAGTAGAATTATTTGCAGCTATGGCTACGGTCTCACGGGGATCAAAGCTTGTCAAAATGTAAAAATAGCAATTGGTTGGGCAACGACAAATTTAAATCTGATCTGTGTACGTTACCGGTTAAAACATTGGCTAACATTAAATATATTGTAAACCACCGTCCATTACATTGAGATTGCGCGTCGCAATCCAATCACACAATGTGTAGTCCAAACTTGACCCTCTAATTGTAGTTAACTTCAATAACATTTTCGCGTTTGTGGCATTTTCTCAAGATATATTTTCTCACGTCTTGAATCTATCGCGGATTTGTTGGCAACCAGTTTATTTCATATGCTCATTTATTGAATAGTTATTTCACCGTATCTGTATGCATTATTCGGTTTTTTCTTTTATATCGTCATTACAAGTAGTTGGCTGTTGGTTGATATCCCCGGTGTGGCTGCGCATGATGTGAATGTTGGCAAGGTGCCTACCTGTCTATTGCCCACTTCATCGTCCAGGAGACAGGTAGTTGTTGCTGAACGGGACGAAGTTCACCGTCCTTGTGGTCATGTTAGGCTCGAAGAGTGGTTTCATGCACCCAGTGTCAAGCGGACTACGGTTCAGCCACTGCCTTGCGTGCGCTTGATTCCCCAGCTACTGCGTGCTTGTGTTTGTCTGTAAAGGAGTGTGGGCCGGCTCTGTTGTTGAAACGTGGCTCCCATGCACATGCCTCCCGGTCTTATTCCTTCTGCTAGCTTGAGAGGTTCGCAGTGACTATGGTGCTTGAGATCGGACGAACCCAACTACCACCTAATGAGCGCAAGTGGCACTTTATGCACCACTATTCTGTCCTTTCTCAAATTGCCTAATACTTTTTAGGGGTGTTCGATGCACAGTCGGGCCCATACTTTTAAAGGGTGAGCTTCGATTCTATGAGCCTCATGGATCTGCAAATGTAGTCTATAAGAGTCCAGTTCTCGCTAAACTGTTGCTCGCTTATTCAGGAAGGTTGACGGAGTCTGAATTGTGCACGCCTAGGGCACGCGTTGCGCGCCAGTTAACAAGTAATGTCATTTAGTATCAGTACACTATGAGCCACAGTACAACGATATGGACTGATTGCAATTAGCAGGTGTAGATTTCACTTTCTGTAAATCGTGTTAGCGTTCGGGTGCATTGAATTCATTTCCAAACCATGATGGTTTCAAGTGTAGTTTCGTGAAGCTTCTGATAGGTAACATATGGCTAATACAATTCAAACCATAGTTTCCCACGCAGTTTGCATGACTAATCAGATGAGGAACATGGCATTTTTAGCTCGAGTATTTACCGTTTATCGCCCGACCCCGTTTAAATTGCTGCTCCTTGCTCCAATAAGCCCAAGGTATTCTCGTCAGCCTTGCGACAGTCAATGTGCATTCGGGTATGTTAGGCTGAGATCTACAGCACTCGCAGCGTTAACCAAAAAATAAGGTGTATGAGTTCTACACTCCTACTAACGTGATTTGTGTTGCTTGCTTCGTTTACTAGCAATACTGTTGATCCTGTAGTCTTTGATTGATGTCAGAAGCTCTCTATAGAATAACGACGAATTCCTCCACCCTCGTGTGACATTTCTCATCTGGTGCGCCGACCTAACTGGCGTGGTAACCGTTTACTAACAGAAAACCTTTACTCATTCAGATAGGCAAGTTAATCTTGCTACTGTGTGACTATCCCTTACACTTACGTTGGAATTCGTTTCTCGTATTCCTGTATTCGCTGTGCTCCTCTGTAATATGTATCACGCGGCTAATCTGAACTGTGTATCACCACTTGATCACACATCAGCTGGTCCCATTAAAGGCAATGCCAATTAGGCTACCCATATTTTACCTCCAACATCTGGTTGCTAGCGCCTGCACCTGGCTTGAATGTGTGCGCTTACTACCTACGTTGACAGGTTACCTCCTCGTTGAACATCGAAGTATTACATCCTGCCAATTTGAAAAATTATTCGATTAACTAGTGGTATAGTATCAATCAACATGCGAAGGCTCTACATATTAGTGAGTTGCATTGGGATATGCAAAACCGCGTAAGGTATTTATCATTGAATTAGCGGACTGTGTGTTGCTTATGGAACCCATTGGCCCACTGTTCAAGACTTCCTCCGTCAGTCAATACGTGCTACACTGAATTAGAAACTCTAGCTGCCTTTGATCGAAGAATTTAAAGGAGAATAAGGCTGCTTGTACAACGTCGAGAGTGGACAACACTGGTGATGTCTCCTCCGCTTCAAAGATTACTATATCTGGCGGGACAAGCATTGATTCTCGCTCGTTCGCGCTGCTTTCTACACGCTCGTTCGATTGACTTTACTCCACTGGATATACCAATAGCTTGTTAAACGTTATGTTGAACGTTCAGCATTTCGTCGCATGAACTGCATCATTGTCCTCCACAAACATTCTGAAGAATACCAACTTGGTAACAAAACTATGTAAAGGTGTGACAATAATCTATGACTACTTGTTCGGACTACTTGTGTAACTCTGAGTACACGCTATGTTAGCTTCCTTTAGCTACTTCCCAGGTTAGTGGTGTGACCAGTCCTCAGTGGACACCTGCACACATGTTTACTACCATTCAATATGTGGTACATCATTATGTGGTTGTTACGCGGTCTTTAGTGTCATCAACTAAACTCTTGAAGTCACTCCATCCTTTACTTTCATCTGCAATCGCCATGAGATTGGGCCTTAAAGGTGTTCGCCGTTGGTACATTTCCGATCCATTGAGTTACGCCTGTGGCGTCATTGGGTGCCTTGAGAGCCATCCCCAGTGGATTACACTATGGCTACAAGTCAGACGAACTTAGTCCCAACCGTCCAAGTTACGGGTTGCAATTGGAGTGACATCAGTTTCTGTAAAACCCGATCGTTGCCATCTTCTCGATGTCCTACAGTCAGGCTTCTATGCTTAAGACTTTGTTTGAGGACCTTAATCGATCTCCTGTCTAGTTTGTGTGTTCTGGAATTATCCCGCCCAACATAAATCTACAGAATTTTCACGTACTTTGGCCTCATAATGCATCGACCGTCGCACATTTTCAACAGCGTAACCTCGTCCGCTCCATACAAGTCCGCCTAGCTAAACCAGACTACTCTTGTTTTCATTTTTTCGTATGTTCCTCTTAACCTTTCCTTAGGTCATTTGGCTTTTACACTGGGCCGCCTATCTTTCTTGTTACTTCATTTCTGAGGTCATCGAGGTTGCATGATAGCTAAGTATCAGTTCAAATTATGGGCATGCTGCCATGGGTGATGATAACAATTATGTGTATTTGGTTACATATACTTATTACACTTCCGTGTTCCCTACCTTCTATGGGTCCACTAGCCATGCACTGTTTTATTCACTTGCACAATCACAAATTGTTTCTTTGAGCTAAATTTGGTGTTTTCTTCTTCCAACGTGTACTCTTCCTTTTCCTGCCCTTCTAGCTTCGTCGGTCGCAGGCAGCAAAGGTCGTAGAATAGCCGCTGCCGATCCGCACTCCGCTCTGAATCACGAACTCACTGAACGCCTTACGAAGGCGGCCACTGAGAAACTGAACGGGATGGAGGATCGACTTAATGGAAAAATTACCGAACACGATGGCTTCAGTCAGATTTTACCTATGTCCGCCGAGGGTCAGGTAAGTGCGTTTTCACGGCTGACAAGCACGCTGGAAAAGACTTTTTCGTGCCGTTAATCATTATAAGATTCAGTTGTAAAGTACTTCTCATCTCTTTTCAATCTTATTGCTGCCTTTTCCCAAGTTCTTCCGTCTGCATCGTTCCCAGACCGTTAATAGTTACTGAGCCTGGCGGAAATGTCGTCCCGTCCCGCTTGATTTAGTCTCTTTAGTTGTGACGATTGCTTCGTCTCTCTAATGCTTCATCTCTGAGTACATAACTGAATGCGATTTAGAGCACAGGACGACAACGTAATCAATCACAATCAGCGCTTGGAACTATTTAGGCCAGGATGACACTACTCAGTCGCCTGATTTATGCCTTTCGCGCACTCTGTACATTCACTCTGCAGGTTAACCCTGGAAACTTGATTTCTGCAGACACTTCATCCTCATTCACTTCATTTATTATTATCTCTTGGATAACTTCCCTTTGTGGCCACTTGTTAGACCGTACACATATCGCTCATAAACCGTATTTTCGTCTAGATAAGTGAATCTTTTATTTAATGCGGGTACGAGAGACTTTCCGCGTAGGTAATGATCTACAAATACAGTTTTACAGAAGAGTAGTAGGGGGAGTTGAATAGTATAGCTAGCTATTCTTGACGTCTAGTCTCCCTCAGACAGCCGTCACACGCCCGGAAAAGCACTGTACGCGCTTTTCATCCTTTCGGGAATCGTCAGCAGTGCGCATTCCATCGGACTCTGGTAGGGCTCGAACCTGCAACTCGAGTGTTGCCAGTCCGTGGTTGAGACCACTAAGCTACGGGGGACGGCAACGACGTACAGTTTTGTTCACAAATGATGTAATCCTAGATGGGATTGGAGAGTGATCGCTTCAACATATGGAGTTGGTATGTTTGTCTGTATGCTGTTACATGGTGCTAAATCAACTTAAACTGTCTTTTTAAGCTGGATAAATTTCATCCACTTTGTTTGGTTTGTTCTGCCTACCTGACTAATCTTCTATTAACTGGCCACGTTGCTTACGTTAATTTTGGTTATCTTCGTTAAGTTAATTGCGTTTGTAGCATTTTTTGCTTAACTTCTGGACATTTTATACTTATCGCGGGTTCGTTGCTGACCAACACTTCATATACTGATTTAAGGGAGAGTTATGTCTGCATAGCCGTATTCTTTAACCGATATTTTATTTGATAATGTCGTTTCAAGTGATTGGCTGTTGTTTGACATCCGAGGTGTGGCTGCGCTTGATGTGCATGCTGACAAAGTGCCTACCTGTCTGTTACCCACTACCTCGCCCATACTGACTCCAGGAGACAGTTGGTCGTTGCTGGAGGGGACAGGGTGCACGGTCCTTGTGCTCGTGCTAGGCTCGAAGAGTGGTTCCATGCACTCAGCGTGGAGCGGACTACGGTCCAGCCACCGCCTTTTGTGCGCTTGATTTCCAAATACAGCGTGCTTGTGTTTGCCTGTGAAGGAGTGTGGGCAGGCTCCGTTGATGAAACGTGGCTCCCATCCGCATTCCTGCCGGTATTATTCCTTCGGGTTTACACTGGATATGGGGTGTGTGGTTGGAGCTTTAGGTGGTGCAGCGCAAGCCACCCATGGTCCCTCTGTAGGCGCAGGCGTCCTGTGGCTGGCCACAGTGACAGGCAAATCCGAAAGCGGATGCCGCCAACCATGTATGTATGTGTGCCCCATGCTGAGGTTGATGTTGATTTCATGATGCTTCTACACCGCAGTTGGGCTAAACCAACTTGCACCTAAACTAGGTCTTTTTAAGCTGGATAAATTTCATTACACCTTATTCGGTTTGTTCTGCCCACCTTAATAATCTTCTATTAACTTGCACTCGTTGCTTACGCTAATTGTGGTTATCTTCGCTAACTTGATCGCGTTTGTGGCATTTTTGAATTAATTGTGGACCTTTGGTACTTATCGCAGATTCGTTGCTAACCAACGTACTTTATATGCTAATTTAGCGAAGAGCTATGTCGGCATAGCCGTAGGCTTGAACAGATATATTTTGTTTGATGTTGTTATTTTAAGTGATTGGCTGTTGCTTGACATCCCCGGTGTGACTGCGCATGATGTGAATGTTGACAAGGTGCCTACCTGTCTGTTACCCACTACCTCGCCCATACTGGCACCAGGAGACAGTTGGTCGTTGCTGGACGGGACGGAGTTCACGGTCCTTGTGCTCGTGCTAGGCTTGAAGTGTGGTTCCATGCACTCAGTATGGAGCGGACTACGGTCCAGCCACCGCCTTATGTGCGCTTGATTCCCCAAATACAGCGTGCTTGTGTTTACTTATGAAGCAGTGTGGGCCGGCTGCGTTGATAAAACGTGGCTCCCATACACATGCCTCCCGGTATTATTCCTTCGGGTTTACGCTGGATATGGAGTGTGTGGTTGGAGCTTTGGGTGGTGCAGCGCAAGCCACCCATGGTCCCTCTGACAGGCAAATCTGAAACCGGATGCTGCCAACCATGCTGTTACGTGTGTTACAGGTGGGAGGGCCTATTATGTGCTGAGGCTGGTGCTGACTAGCTCCTGACAAATGGTCTGCGCACTGCTCCTCGTGCCGACCGCTGGGTGGGAGTTGGGTTACGCGCTTCTCCCTGCTAAGATCCAGGACTCCAATCCGCATGAGTCAGTGAACTGACCATGTGCTAGACCCGTTGCCTTTCGGGTGTACATTTTATCAAAGGTTTTGACTGAGAACCCGAGTCATTCTCTTGTCAGGTTTGGGCGCCCTGCCAGTATCCTAGTTTCATCCTCTTCACAGGTTAGGAAGTGGTCGATGGCCCTCTTCCTGTAAAACGTAGCCATGGGAGACAACAGGTCTACGGGTTATAAGCTCACAGCTCGATTGGCGTAGAGCACGAGCGCCACGCATTGTCTTTGACGGTGGGAGGGCACCTCCGGGTGTTTAATGGTTTGCTACTGCCCCCCTCAAGCCAGGCAGCCCCTGATCAAACTGGTGTGAACCCGACAAACCCCATCTACATCTGGCCTTGGTCGCAGCTGCCTATCCTACCACTGTCACAAAACATATATGCATCGTTCCAGTATCTCCGAGGCTGCGTGTGACGGACCTCAAGCAGATCTCAATCTGTCTCTGCAATCACATTCCCGACCTGGATCTACTCCCCGTTGCCTTGTGGGTCAGGCTATTGAGTCAAAGGCTTCCGACAGATTCCCTTAAGCAAACTTCCGAAGCACAACGATCACTTCGCGTGCGACTGCCCACCAATGCAATTATATGCATGCGCGCAAAGCACTCAGCGTCGGGTGCTGGAGCGTGCGCACACTTCTGGACAGGAACTCGAATGAGCGCTCTGAGCAACGCACTGTTCTGGTCGCGATGGAACTGGCGCGGTACCACATCGATATTGAGGAGCTCATTGAGACTCGGCTCGCTGAGTAAGGGAAGTTTCATGAAGCAGGTGCTGGCTACTCTCTGTACTTGGTAGGCAACGCCACCGCGCCCCATGAACATGGGGTCGGATTTGCAAAATCCGATCGCCTCCATATCCAGCTCGCGCGGGAACCAACAGGCATCAGCGCGCGACTGATGACTGTTCACCTACGACTCGGAAGAGGTACGTTTACCACTTTCATATATTATCCTGATGACACGCGTGATCAAATCTACCCTCATCTGTCCTCCGTGATACAGTCTGTGCCGAGGAGCGACCGACTACTTCTGCTGGGTGATTTCAACTCGCGCGTTGGGCGTGATACACCGGTGCGGACATATGTCATCAGTTCGCATGGCATTCGTTCAGCCAATGCAATTGGTGACAGACTGCTCTCACTGTGTGCCACTTACGGCCTGGTGATCAGGAACACGCGGTTTGCACTGAGTGCGAGTGATAGAGCAACTCGGACGCACCCACGGAAGGGTCACGCTCACCTGCTCGACTATGTCATCATGCGTCAGCGTGATATGCGGGAAGTGCGCATGACACGTGTACTTCGTGGAGCTGAGTGTGGCACTGACCACAAATTGGTGCGGACCAAACTGTACATATATTTTCGTAAATCTATGTATTGCACCCCGCCTCCGTGAATCGGCGTAAATTTAACATTCTCTCCCTCGGTACCGTGGAGAAACCTATTGAGCTGGAGAAGGCGATGGCTGTGCGTCTGTATGGTGTGAAATGCATAGCCACAGTGAGCGACCTGTAGTACCACATTCGCGATCAGGTGACAGCTGCTGCCGAGGAGACCATCGGCCTCACAAACTGTAAGCGGCCTGGTTGGTTTGATGACAACTGTGCGACGATTGACGCATTGGTGTCAGAGAAGAATACAGCATTTGCTGCACATGTGGCAGACCCCAGTGACTTGGGGAAGACGAGAAAGTTTGGCAGGATTCAACGACAACTGACCCGAGAGCCCCGTCGCATTAACATGCATGGTGGATGGAGAAGGCGAAGCAGATGGAATGCTATGCCGAACGCTGCCAACACAAGGAATTTTTTGACTCCTTGTAGGCAGTGTATGAACCGAGGTTGGAGCAGCTGAGGACGCTACTGAATGGCAGTTCGGGCGCTACCTGCACACAGACTGCAGACACAATACAGATCTGGCAAAAACATTTTGACTGTCACTTGAACAACCGTTCAGAGATTGCCTATCCTACATTGAACGACCTCAATCAGCACGACGAGAAGATGAGTCTGGCTGACACGCTGACGCAGGATGAGACGCAGAGAGCACTTGCTCAGCTGCGAAACGGCAAGTGTGCTGGGGCCGACGGGATTCCGCCTGAAATATTGAAACTCGGCGGATCTGCGTTGGTGACTGCGCTGCATCACTTGGTGCAACGCGTGTGGATTGAGGAGGAGGTGCCTCCTGAGCTAAAGGATACGCTTGTGCTACCACTGTACAAGGGAAAAGGGATCAAGCAATGTTGCACGAAGTATCGTGGTACCAACTTGCTGAGTTGTATAGGCAATGTGATTACCCAAATCTCGCTCAACCCT